CATTAGGAGTCCCGTGGGGACAAAGTTTTTTCCTTGGGGCAAAAAAGGGGAAGTAAAGAAGTATAGTTTTTCCTCGCCTTTTTTTGGGTTTTGAAACATTGGGGGTTTAATGTTTTCAGCGAGGGAGAAGGCTGGGGGCGGGAGAAGTCATGCCGAGAGCAATGTGGGCGTGAAATAATGCAAGAATTCGTTTTTTGGGGAATTTTGGAGGGGTTTGGGGGGGTTACCCAAAAATGTTGTCCCCTAGGGGTGGGAAGGGTTTTTTGAGGGGTTCGGACATTGGGGAGAATGGAGCGAAAAAAAATAACTTAAGAGTGTATCAGTCTTTAGTGGAAAGAAGGCGGGGGGAGGGGTCGGCCTAGGAAAGGTTGGGGGAAAGGGGGGAAAGGAGGTTTTGTGTGCAAGGGGCTTGGACTTCTAGAAGGGGTGCTTAAACGTGTTTGAAGGAGTGAATGGAGACAAAAGGTTTTTTAATACTTACGTGCTGTTGGATGTGAAAAAGAAATAAAATTATGAAGGGGTTAGGGGGAAAAAGAAAGGGCCCGGGTTGATCCCGGGATAGAATACGTGTGCTCTCTGAAGGAGGGGTGTTAATGTTGCCCGTTTAAAAAATTAGTGAAAGAAACCCCTTTTGGGAAGACAGTGAAAGGGGTAAATTTTCATGGTGAAAGTTTTTTTTTTTTGGGCCCACCTTTCCTTGGTGGGGTCGGCCAGTGTGATAAAAATAATAAAATAGCTCCCTCGCTTCTCACACCCCCAATAGTTCCCCCGTTCTAACACCCTAACCGAGCCTACTATCCTCATAAAAACTCCTTTTTCACATTAGTAAAATTTTCCCCCTTTTCCATATACAGTGGTCCCAAAAATCGTCCATAAACCCCTTCCTTAAGTGGGACATTCGAAATGGGCGATTTTTTGAAAACAATTTTCCCCCCAAAAAAAATAATTTTAAATCCAATTAAAATTCCCTTCCAGACCCCCCAGGAAATATCAACAACAATTTTTTTTTTTTACCTAAAAGGGTAGATTTACATGCACAAAAAAAATTTAACATTCAACATGGGCAGTTACCTTTTTTTGAAGGTTGTTGAGAATGGGAAAACAGGGAGGGGGGAGGGGAGGGAAAAAAGAGGTTATTTTTGGGAAAGGGGGTCCCCCCCCCCCTAAGGACTCTTGGGAAATAATAAAATGTAATAAATGAACATTGGTAATAGGGGTAGTTGATGAGTGGAACTGTCTGCCTAGTAGGGTGATCGAAGCTAAAACATTGGGTAGTTTCAAATTTAGGTTGGATAAATACACGAGTGAGAGAGGTTGGATTTGAGTCGGACTTGCACCTGATTTGTGAAGTGGATTTGTGAAGGACCGGCCTAGTATGGGCCAACAGGCTTATTGCAGTGTTCCTCCTTTCCAGTGTTCTAAAAGCTATGGCTTGGGTAGTTTCAAATTTAGGTTGGATTAATACATGAATGAAAGGGGTTGGATTTGAGTCGGACTTGCACCTGAGTTTATTGCTTGGGTAGCATTTGTTCTGTTAGTGGGTTGGATTTGTGAAGGACCGGCCTAGTATGGGCCAGCAGGCCTGTTCCAGTGTTCCTACTTTCTTAAGTTCTTATTTAACATCACACTTACCAGTAGGGTGATCGAGGCTAGGACCTTGGGTAGCTTTCAAGAAGAGATTGGACAAATATACGAGTTGGAGGAGCTGAGTTTGATTTGTGTCATTGGGTACGGGAGTAAATTCTTGGGTAGCTTTGGGTGGAGGTCATTTTGATAAGGACCTGCCTTGTATGGGCCAGTAGACCTGCATTGTTCTTCGATTGCTATGTTCTTATTGGCTATTTGTTTGTGTGAGGGAGGGATGGCAAGTTTATTGTTGGAGAATATGACACTAATATCAACTCTATGGCTTATTTATCTATCACAATTCAACTAATATGACATAATAAACAATATTAATAACATAGAAACATGGAATATACTGTAGAATGAATAAAATAAGTCATTACGTATGTCATGAGAGGTGTTGTGATGAATGGTTTGAAAAACCGACAAGTTGAAGATTGAGACACTTATGCAGCATATGGGAATCTTTATTCAGGAAACGTTTCGCTACACAGTGGCTTCATCAGTCCAATACAAAGAGGAAGGCGTAAGGAGAGGAGAAGTATGAGGTAATCAGTCCCTCAGCCTGGAGTCAATGTGTTCAGTCCATCAATCTTGTAGAATGTACAGCATAGGGCCGTAGACGTGGCTTATATACTGTAGTGAGGTGAGGTGAAGCAGGCGGAGGCGGGGTCATAGTGGTACCATCCACTAGTCGAAGTAGGTCTTCGTCCAAAGGTTGAACAAGTGTATGTGCAGTGTGACCTAAGTGTAAGTAGAAGTAGCAAGACGTACCTGAAATCTTGCATGTTCATGAGACAGAAAAAAAGGACACCAGCAATCCTACCATCGTGTAAAACAATTACAGGCTTTCGTTTTACACTCACTTGGCAGGACGATAGTACCTCCCTGGGCGGTTGCTGTCTACCAACCTACTACCTAGGACTCTATCATATGCCTTTTCTAAATCCATAAATACAATAAAAACTTCCCTACCTTTATCTAAATACTGTTCACATATATGCTTCAGTGTAAACACTTGATCTACACATCCCCTACTCACTCTAAAACCTCCTTGCCCATCCGCAATCATACATTCTGTCTTACCTCTAATTCTTTCAATAATAACCCTACCGTTCATTTTTCCTGGTATACTCAGTTAACTTATTCCTCTATAATTTTTACAATCTCTTTTGTCCCCCTTCCCTTTATATAAAGGGACTATACACACTCTGCCAATCCCTAGGTACCTTCCCCTCTTTCATACATTTATTAAACAAAAATACCACCCACTCCAACACTGTGTGCCCCTGCTTTTAACATTTGTCATGATCCCATCAGTTCCAGCTGCTTTACCCCCTTTCATTCTACGTGAATGCCTCGTGCACCTCCCCCACACTCACATCCTACTCTTCTTCACTCCTAAAAGATGGTACATCTCCCTGGCCAGTGCATGAAATTACCGCCTTCCTTCGTCGACATTTAAAAGTTCCTCAAAATATTCTCACCATCTACCCAATACCTCCATCTCCCCATCTACTAACTTCCCTACTCTGTTTTTTACTGACAAATCCATTTGTTCCCTAGGCTTTCTTAACTTGTTTAACTCACTCCAAAATTGTTTCTTATTTTCATTTAAAATTTTTTGACAGTGCCTCTCCCACTCTATCATCTGCTCTCCTTTTGCACTCTCTCACCACTCTCTTAACCTTTCTTTTACTCTCCATATACTCTACTCTTCTTATAACACTTCTGCTTTGTAAAAACCTCTCATAAGCTACCTTTTTCTCTTTTATCACACCCTTTACTTCATCATTCCACCAATCACTCCTCTTTCCTCCTGCACCCACCCTCCTTTAAGCACAAACTTCTGCCCCACATTCTAATACTGCATTTTTAAAACTATTCCAACCCTCTTCAACACCCCTTCCCCTTCACTACTCATACTTGCACCAGCCCACCTTTCTGCCAACAGTTGCTTATATCTCACCCAAACTTCCTCCTCCCTTAGTTGATACACTTTCACCTCCCTCTTACTTGTTGCCATTTTCCTCTTGTCAAATAAGCTATGCTGACAGTTTTTGATATTTCATAAGCTCTCTCCACTCTCAAGAGTCAGTAAAATATCTACTTTGTTGTCTAAAGCAATAGTCTTCTATTTTGCCTTTTGTCCATGCTGTATCTTACCACAAGTCTACACTAAATACTGTGTAGTCCCTCTAGGCATACAGTCTGCCCACCCAGGGACCTTGTCTTTCCTCAGTCAAGCTGCACTGGTGTGTTGCTTGACTGGGCCTGCCTCGAGAACCAGTATTGGGTCTGTAGATGAATTGTTCCTTGTAATGAAAACAAAGTTTTTTACAGGACTGGCATATTAACAGATACATTGCCATAAATACAGTAGAAAGTACTCAAAGGGGTAACATCACAGGGGTTTGCTTGTACTATACTGTGATGTAAAGAATAAATGGTTAGTGAACAATTGTAAATATTATGTGAATAAATGTTTGTTTGTTCAGACCAAAGAAGGAAAATGAGACCTTTCACAATTATTGAGAGAGTAAAGGATTTTGTACCATTGGATATAGGTATCTCTCTGTGAGGAAGCAAGGATATAGCTGCATTATAAGTCTCTCTTTATGAGAATGGTAAAGGATTCGGTTTCATTGGATACAAGTATTTTTTTTTCTTATTTGATGCCACAAACTTAGCAAGTAGTTCATCATTTATTTCTAGGTAGAAGAGTAGTTGGCTTTGATGACCCATGCAAGCACTATCCTAGAATTAAAGAGACTGCCCCTGGTTGATGCTCATATTTATTTTGGCCTTATTTGCACTGCATTTTGTGATATGCGTTTAATTGCACTTTAATCCATGTGGTATGCACTTTATTGCACTAAAATACCAAGTGGTACAGTAATATACAGTAATGCACTACAGTACCATTTGGTGATGTCCACTATAATGCACTAAGAGTACTATACTATATCATTTTTATCTGCTAACTATTCTGTTTTACTGCTTGATAAATTTAAATAGCAAAGTCTCATCCATTCCACACATAGTTGTCTATCATCATAAGTAACATTTGAATCTCCCATGTGACAACCAAACCAGCACAGTGAATTTTTCACTAATTGTCTCAAATTTTATTGCAGAGTTTTAATTAATACTTGAATATGTGAAGCTAAACATTTGAAATATTTGGTGTTGATTGCAGAGAGACTGATATGTCAAGAGTGTTGCTGTAGCTACTGATATAACAGTTTATTATAAAGTTATACATCATGTTGGGAGTGTGATAATTCTTTCAATGCTATATTTAGATTTATTTATTTTTGCTTTGTGTGTGTTAAAATTTGAAAGTAGTTTGTGTTGGTCTTTGGGTATCTTAGGCATCGGAGGGTCAAGGTGTAGGGGACACTGTGTCAGCCTCCAGCAGTGAAAGTGATGGTCAGGACAACACCGTCCAAGTCATCATGAGAAAAGACAACAATACGGATAGTAGCTATAGTGTAAGTTTCTTCAATTATTTTAAATGTATTTGTTATGTATAGTAATAAGTTGCATGCAGTGTTTAGTGCATGATACTTATTATAATTTTAGTGTTTTCTGGTCATGGTCATTAATAATTTCCCAGCAGCTGTGTTTAAACTATGCTGTAAATACATCTTAATTTGTTTTGGTTGTGCTCCTTGTAAATGACAAATTAAAGTACTGGACTGTAATGTTGAGTTGGGCCACCAGTTGTCTTGTGTGCCTGCCAGACCAAAAGATTAAACTGTATATTACTGTTCACTGTATAATTCAAAGAATTTGTATTATCTAATTAATTTTTGTTGCACTTTTGTAAGAAATAATTAACTTGAGCTAATTACAGTATACAGTATATTTTTCATGACTTAATAGTTTAGATATTTGTAATATTCACTACTGGTTTGTTGTTGCATACATCAATATAATACTTTGTTGCAGTTTATATTTGTAAGAAAAGGAGTAAAGAAACCAAGACAAAAGGCAATCCGTAACTAATGTTATGCATAAAATTCGGAGTGTGGAAATTAGAAGATGTGGAGTTAATAAAAGTATTAGTCAGAGGGCTGAAGAGGGGTTGTTGAGGTGGTCTGGTCATTTAGAGAGAATGGATCAAAGTAGAATGACATGGAGTGTGTATAAATCTATAGGGGAAGAAAGGCGGGGTAGGGGTCATCCTCGGAAAGATTGGAGGGAGGGGGTAAAGAAGGTTTTGTGGACAAGGGGCTTGGACTTGCAGCAAGCATGCATGAGCATGTTAGATATGAGTGAATAGAGACAAATGGTTTTCGGGACGTGACGAGCTGTTGGAGTGTGAGCAGGGTAATATTTAGTGAAGGGATTCAGGGAAACCGGTTATTTTTATATAGCCAGACTTGAGTACTGGAAATGGGAAGTATGATGCCTGCACTTTAAAGGAGGGGTTTGGGATATTGGCAGTTTGGAGGGATATGTTGTGTATCTTTATATGTATATGCTTCTAAACTGTTGTGTTCTTGGCACCTCTGCAAAAACAGTGATTATGTATAAGGTGAAAGTGTTGAATGATGATGAAAGTATTTTCTTTTTGGGGATTTTCTTTCTTTTTGAGTCACCCTGCCTCGGTGGGAGATGGCAGACTTGTTAAAAAAAAAAAAAAAAAAAAACTGATTCAGTTCCATCCATCACTTGGATTTTTTCATTATGCTAAACAGGGAATAGAAAACTGAACAACAAGATAGGTGTAGCCAGGAAAACTGTGTATATGAAACATGTGTTAGTGGTGTGATGAAGTACCAGCATCAGTGGTGTTGGCTAATGTTGATACTATCAGCCTAAAACTGAGTATTAGTGGGTATTGGCTAGTTTTCATAGTATTAGCAGCACCAGTATCAGTGAGTATCAGCTAATTCAGATTGTATCAACATTGGCCAAAAATTGAGTATCAGTATAGGCCTAAAATTGAGTACCAGTACCAGCAAAAAAAAAAAAAAAAAAAATTGAATCGTCCTGGCCCTGATTTATATACAAATATACATGAAGTAATATGAAAAATTCTAAGAGCTAAGAAATGATGCAAATAAAAAAAAAGGCATCATGTATTTGAAACTAAACTGCAGGTCAGTACAGTGAAGGAAATGAGTTTAAAGGAAATTATGGTACTTGGTTTGTAGAGGGAAGAGTGTTAGAAAAAGGGGGATGGTATAGCAGTATTGTTAAAACAGTTGTATGTGCTACAGAAATTTATGTCCGAAATATTGGTCCCAGCTCTCTGTAAATTCTAAAACTTCATGCCTTGTTTCCTCCCCTCTTTGTCCTTCACTCCCCACTCTTTACTCATCTTCTAACTTCCCCTTCCTCTTTCTGTCTTTTCAGTTCCCCCCCTCCTTTCTTTCACTATGCAGCTTTTAACCCTTAAATGGTCCAAATAGATCAACGTTCAAATCCGCAGTGCTCCAAAAGTAGATCTATGTTTTTTTTACATATTTTCAAATATAACCAAAAAAAATATATAGATAAAAGTTTTTTTTACACATTTTTAAATGTAAAAAAAAAAAATGATGTACATTTTTTTACATACTTTCAAATGTTGAAAAAACGTATATATACATTTGGACCGTTTAAAGGTTAAATAAAAAGTTGTACAAAGCATCAATTGCTGATAAAGTATGGTAACTACACACAGGTTATACAAGTGTGGGTATGCAGAATACAATAGAAAGTGTCTTGATAGAGCAGCTCTCTCATTCTCCCAACCTTCACATATTTCATTCCTGTCATGATTATGCTTATTCAGAGAGTTTGAAGCGTCAAAAGATATGCGCAGTAAGAGTGCTGTGTTGTTACTATATGTACTTTGTTACCGTTTTTCAGTCTGTCACTTGAAATTGTCATGAAGAATTTGCAGAAATGGATTTGGGGGCAGTACAGTAGAGGTTTTGGAATGCATCCCTACTTGTATATTTAATGTTTAGTTATGTTCGCTATGTAATTTAAGAGTTTTGCACTCTTCTGAAATGCATCTGTCACATACAGCAAGGAACACCTGTACAATATTACAATAGATCTCACCATTTTCCAGCTAGTTCCTCCACTTGTTTTCTTTTCAGTGGAAGATTTTTTGTGTCTTATTGTTTTACATAAAAGTACTGTATTAAGGATTATAGGATTTTTTTATTTCGCATGTTATATAAATGTTTGTTATTTATGAGGATGTGTTTATGATTTTGATGTTTTTCTATATGAAATTGGGATAGTGAGAAGAGAACTAGTGTTTAAGATGGGAAAAATGAAAAATTCATACTAGGTAAATAGGGACTGGAAGGTGCAGTTGCAGATTGTAGTACATTCCGATAACTCATATTCAGCAATACAGCAATAATGCATATATTTTGGATTTACTAGAGACCCTCTTCAGGCGCCAGACAAGGGGGTCTAATGGATTGAAAATATTCGTGTTACTGTATTTCCATAATGTTGAACGTTGGTTACTTAAATGTATTACCCATAGTTAGTGTGTGGTTCACTCAAGTGTTTTTTTTTTTTTTAAACAAGTCGGCTGTCTCCCACAGAGGCAGGGTGACCCAAAAAGAAAGAAAATCCCCAAAAAGAAAATACTTTCATCATCATTCAACACTTTCAACTCACTTATACATAATCACTGTTTTTGCAGAGGTGCCCAAATACAACAGTTTAGAAGCATATACTATAAAGATGTATAACATATCCCTCCAAACTGCCAATATCTCAAACCCCTCCTTTGAAGTGGGGGTTTGGGATATTGGCAGTTTGGAGGGATATGTTATATATTTTTATAGTACAGTGGAACCTCAAATATCGAACTTTCTTCGGTCCAGAAGGCTGTTCGAGTGCCTTTACCAAATGAATTTATTCCCATCAGGAATAATGTAAATTAGATTAGTCCATTTCAGCCCCTCAAAAATACACTTATAAAAGCACTTGCAAAAATACACTTACATAATTGGATGTGTTGGGAGCAGTTCGATTTTTGAGGTTCCACTGTATGTGCTTCTAAACTGTTGTATTTGGGCACCTCTGCAAAAACAGTGATTATGTATGAGTGAGTTGAAAGTGTTGAATGATGATGAAAGTATTTTCTTTTTGGGGATTTTCTTTCTTTTTGGGTCACCCTGCCTCGGTGGGAGACTGCCAACTTGTCAAAAAAAAAAATATTTTATTTATTGACTAAAGTTACACACATGTAAAATAATTGTAGGAATAAGAAAAGATTAAAGAATGCATATGCAAAAAATAGTAATGTGGTTAATGTGCTGGTCCAGGAATAAACTACAGTAATTCCTACAAATTCGTTGAGAAAGGGGATTACTTTCCTAGAGATGCCATGTAGCTTAAAAACTAAAAATAATAGAAAATTAAGTCTGTATAACTCATTTTTTTTAGATCAGTTTGTTTCACACTTCTTCTTTCTTTCAACACACCGGCCGTATCCCACCAAGGCAGGGTGGCCCACTAATCTGGTTCATATTTACATCCATAAGATACATTTACCCGAATAAAAAAATAGAATTGACACAGGGGAAAAACCCTTAAGGAAGAAAAAAATTGATAATTTAATCTATTTACTACTTGCCCATCAATAAAAAAAAATTTAAGAAAAATGCAAAAAATGAAGCCACGAATTTTTAGGGTAAATTTTTTAATTTTTTAGAGAGTCAGGTTAAAACCAAGACATTACATAAAACATGGGAAAAATTTTGAATCTTTTTTTCAGTTAAGTGAAGAAAGGCAAGCCTGAATGGGTCGCAAACCACCACACCAACAAGCGAAATGAAGCAGGCAATGGGGACCCCAAACGTCAACGTCGAAGTAAATTTTCCCGATAAACCAAACATCCTATTAAATTTTTTGGTCATTATGAAAAAATTTCATAGGGGAAAAAACTTCTTTTCCCTGCCGAAGTTTTACAAATTAAAAAGAAAATTTACTAACTGATATCAATAACAAAGCAATTTTGTAAAACTGATTGAAGGGCATGATAAAATTTTTCTTGTTTGCTCCAAAACCCGGTTCCTAGCATCTTCCCCCTTTAGTATTTCTAAAAAATTTGGGCAGTTGCTTTTTGTTTTTCAGTCCATCTCTTTTCACTTCAGTACTTCATTGTTGTTTTCCCACATTTAATAATTTTGGTTTGTTATCCCTTCTTGTTTTAGGTAATGTTACCTGTTGATGGTGAAGATACTTTGAAATTTTATGTTAAGTTCTTTGCATGTTTTTTTATATTTCGAGAATCTTCATCTTGTCTCAGTCTTATTTCTTGATCTTTAAGTGCCAACTACCTTCTGATGAGGCTGTAGAGTAACTTCATTATACCCTTTGCCTTTGCTGCTTTATTTTTGAAATGTATTCCAAATTCTAAAGTAACCGTTCCATACTCTCCTTGTCTTGCTCTGTATTTTATTTAATTTTTATATCCCTGACGAATTAACATGAGCATGAGTTAAGTCACTGACACGAGACAGTTGCAAAGATCATCGGATTACATGAAGCAGACCTTCATATGAAGGTAACAGTAGAAGCTACTGATGTGTGTGTGTGTGTGTCCAGTGAAAACCTGGTTGCATTGGTTCCTTGAGGACTTGCCCGTATCAGAAACAAGTTCAGGAAAACCTCAAGAAACGTCCCCACTACCATTAAATAATAACCTAGAGAATTGCTCTTTATTATTTACCTGAAACTTTAACACAGTGTGGTGCAGCATTTTTATGCAAGACAGTGCTCCTTGCTGCACTATGAAATCTGTTGTTCAGTTGCTTTGTGCCTGTGAGGTACCCTTCTTCAATGACTCTCCAGGGTAGTTTCCAGACTGGAACTCCATTGAGAACCTCTGTGCTATGATAAAGATCTACTAGGGAAAAGATATCAACCCACTCTCACAGTCTTAAGACTCCATTGGTGAGTCAAGGTGTATTTATCTCATGAAATGTTTTCTAGAAGGTTGAAGGATGTCCTAAGAGCAAGAGATGATCTATTGTCTAGGTTTTAGAGGGAGGGGGAGCATACTTGAACAAGTACTGTATTTTGTCGCTTCTCAGTACTTTGAGCAAAGCAGCACGGTATGTCATTTCTTGTTGAGTTCATCTATTGAACTTCTTGTGTAATAGCTAGGAACCTTCTCATGCTTCATAGTCTTCCTTGTTTCTTGATATCTGTCTTTTTATTCTTTGATCTACCATGCAGTCCCATTGAATGCCCATTGAACATACACTTGAAAGGATGCCTTCTGACTTAATTCATACATTGTATTATGATGCTTGCAAGTAAAGTATTTGTTCCAATAAACAGACTTGTATTAATTTTATACAGTAATTAAAATCCTCCTAGAGGTAAAACTATTTTTCATATTGGTTAATAAGTAGTATTGAAACTGATAAATTGTATAGAGCTTACTAATTAGAATCATTGATAAACTATCATGTTTTTAATTCTTTAGGACATTATTCAAAAATTATTTTTTTTATTTTATTATCACACTGGCCGATTCCCACCAAGGCAGGGTGGCCCGAAAAAGAAAAACTTTCACCATCATTCACTCCATCACTGTCTTGCCAGAGGGTGCTTTACACTACAGTTTTTAAACTGCAACATTAACACCCCTCCTTCAGAGTGCAGGCAATGTACTTCCCATCTCCAGGACTCAAGTCTGGCCTGCCAGTTTCCCTGAACCCCTTCATAAATGTTACTTTGCTCACACTCCAACAGGACGTCAAGTATTAAAAACCATTTGTCTCCATTCACTCCTATCAAATACGCTCATGCATGCCTGCTGGAAGTCCAAGCCCCTCGCACACAAAACCTCCTTACCCCCTCCCTCCAACCTTTCCTAGGCCGACCCCTACCCCGCCTTCCTTCCACTACAGACTGATACACTCTTGAAGTCATTCTGTTTTTCTCCATTCTCTCTACATGTCTGAACCACCTCAACAACCCTTCCTCAGCCCTCCGGACGACAGTTTTGGTAATCCCGCACCTCCTCCTAACTTCCAAACTACGAATTCTCTGCATTATATTCACACCACACATTGCCCTCAGACATGACATCTCCACTGCCTCCAGCCTTCTCCTCGCTGCAACATTCATCACCCATGCTTCACACCCATATAAGAGCGTTGGTAAAAACTATACTCTCATACATTCCCCTCTTTGCCTCCAAGGACAAAGTTCTTTGTCTCCACAGACTCCTAAGTGCACCACTCACCCTTTTTCCCTCATCAATTCTATGATTCACCTCATCTTTCATAGACCCATCCGCTGACATGTCCACTCCCAAATATCTGAATACATTCACCTCCTCCATACTCTCTCCCTCCAATCTGATATCCAATCTTTCATCACCTAATCTTTATCCTCATAACCTTACTCTTTCCTGTATTCACTTTTAATTTTCTTCTTTTGCATACCCTACCAAATTCATCCACCAATCTCTGCAACTTCTCTTCAGAATCTCCCAAGAGCACAGTGTCATCAGCAAAGAGCAACTGTGACAACTCCCACTTTGTGTGATTCTTTATCTTTTAACTCCACGCCTCTTGCCAAGACCCTCGCATTTACTTCTCTTACAACCCCATCTATAAATATATTAAACAACCACGGTGACATCACACATCCTTGTCTAAGGCCTACTTTTACTGGGAAATAATTTCCCTCTTTCCTACATACTCTAACTTGAGCCTCACTATCCTCGTAAAAACTCTTCACTGCTTTCAGTAACCTACCTCCTACACCATACACCTGCAACATCTGCCACATTGCCCCCCTATCCACCCTGTCATACGCCTTTTCCAAATCCATAAATGCCACAAAGACCTCTTTAGCCTTATCTAAATACTGTTCACTTATGTGTTTCACTGTAAACACCTGGTCCACACACCCCCTACCTTTCGTAAAGCCTCCTTGTTCATCTGCTATCCTATTCTCCGTCTTACTCTTAATTCTTTCAATAATAACTCTGCCATACACTTTACCAGGTATACTCAACAAACTTATCCCCCTATAATTTTTGCACTCTTTTGTCTCCTTTGCCTTTATACAAAGGAACTATGCATGCTCTCTGCCAATCCCTAGGTACCTTACCTTCTTCCATACATTTATTAAATAATTGCACCAACCACTCCAAAACTATATCCCCACCTGCTTTTAACATTTCTATCTTTATCTTTATTCAAAAATTAAGGAAAGATTAACATTTGATTTATATTTAGTATACATGTTATAGTACATAATTGCACATATTTTATAGGAATAGGGCTTTAGTTATTCTTTTTAGGTCACCCTGCCTCAGTGGGATATAGCCGGTTTAATGAAAAAAAAAATATTGCCTGGGCCCCTTTTGTCTGTTAGTACCTGTAGATCAAGCTCAATGATAGTTCAGTTTTTTCCATATTCTTGTGTTTTGTAGTCTTAACGGACTGTCAGTAACTCGGCATTTCCAGTATAACATTTGTATTGTTTTGTTTCATTTAGTCTAATCTTTAAGTCCTAAACATGCCAAATGCTAAGAAAAGTCAGCTTCTGGTGTTAATGTGGCAGTAATAATTTGCATATTTCCCTCTCTTCTCATCACTCTTTTACCTACACTTTGACTGAATTAATTCCACTTAAGGTTTATTTCCACACTTACCCATTTCCATTACATGACACCTTAGCAGCATTTAATTCCATAAGAAAGGTACCACTCTGCATACTTACTACATTCAGATCCTCCTTCAGAGTTTATTTAGATTTATTACCCAATTGGAAATATTTACATTTGTTATTCTTTCCTGCTATTATTTGTGATTCAAGAACTAGGGTCAATACTGCTTCTTGTGGAACTCTTAGTATATATGCATACACTTCCATTTGTGTATGTGCAACCTTGTAGGGTTTTATGGGATACTGTACTTAGTTAACTTGTATAGTAGCTTGAAAATATTTATATTTGTGACTACAGTTTATTGTTACATCTTTTCTAGTCTTTGTTTCAAAGAATCTTAAGATCAAAGTATATTTTAAAAAATGCTTGATGGTGTGAAGAGTAATGCCATATCATCACGTACTTCTTTTTGTTTCAGGTTAACTTTAGTGAGCCTTTATCCTTCTTGCAGCGATTAACAGAAGATTTTGAGTACAGTGATATTTTGGACAGAGCAGCTCTGGTGAGTATGGGCTTTCCTGTCACTTATACTTTTAGTGACGTATATTGGTCATAATTTCAAAAACACTGGTGTTGCATCGTGATTAATAATTTTGTTGATTTTTTTCTCTATGAGCAGTCTTTTCCTGTAGGTATTGTTTACAAGAACATAAGCTATGAGACGGTCAGAATTCCTATCTCTGGCTATTCACTTTTACAATCGCTCATTTCTATCCCTAATGAGAAATACAACAACAATACATTTCTCACACTCGTTGACAGTACTCTTTTTCAAATCAACGTTCATGCTCCATTGTGTTTCAGCTTTTGTCTATTTAGACAAGTAATACAGAGTTTGCTCCAAGTATGATACAGTGTTTCATGAGCATCTTTTTTGTTACAGATAGAAGATACATGTGAACAGTTGTCCCTGGTTGCTGCTTTTACGGTATCTTCATATGCCACAACAGCTGAAAGAACGGCAAAACCTTTCAATCCCCTCCTTGGTGAAACCTATGAATGTGATCGTACTGATGACCTTGGCTGGAAAGCAATCAGTGAACAGGTATAATGATAGTTTTGTATTCTTGATGCTTATGCTGTTTTGTAATTTTTTTTGCATTTGTCTGAATTTGTTCTGTAATTACTGTATGTATGTGATTATCTGTTTGTTATAGGGAGGAGCTGTAGCTGGAGACAAATAGTGCAAAGCCAACAAGTAGTGAAAAATTACTCAGTATCAGAGAGGAATTTTTTTGCCTGTGTACAGGCTTCTTCAAATTGACTAATGAAGCCTGTCCACAGGCAAAGCATCTCAGTCAGGTTCCTCTTCAGTTGTCTTTTTCAACAGTGTTATCTCTTGGGCCTGCCTTTTAATGTTCAGTTGATGTGTGTGAAATACAGTAGCCCTGCCACCTTTTAAACCCCTGTATGGAGTCCACTTGAACTGTATTCCACTTAATATTCTTATAGTATTAAATGAATTTTTTTTTTGTTGTCCCTTTGGCTCACGTGGGTGTGTAATGTCCAGCCATGTCCTATTGTTGCATTCATGGTGAAGAGCCTATTACTTTTTATCCTGTCTCTGTCTTTCAGAATTTTGTATGTCATGTCCACATTCCTTCTTTTTCTTCATTCCTTCATGACATAAATTTTAGTTTTCATACTCTTTCTTTGTTGCTCATTTGCTGTAACTTGGGCACCAGTATTGATACTCTACTTTGTGCTTTAAGTTTCACTGTGTTTTATTGCTGGTGCTGCATAGTCATGATGATAATAATAATAGTTTTTAACCAAGGAAGTATAATAAAATTACCAGAGATTTTCATCAGTATCTACATTATATTATTTACTGAATTGCTATATACTTACTGCATAATATTTTACTGCCCAGTTAGATGTATGGTATGTATGTTAAAATTATCTTTCTAGTGCATTATGTATGGCAAATATTCATATTAAAGATGCACCATATAATAGTGTAAATAAAGACAAATATACATACAGGCAGGCCCTGCTTTACAGCATTTTGCTAATACAGTGGTTTTTCAATTGTACCCACTCTCCATTTATTCAGACTTCCTACAATAAATATATTCACCACTCACTATAAGCTAAGGACAGGAATATTTTAAGATAAGTAATATGTGTACTGTATATTCATTTTTAGGCCTTGCTATACTACTAACTTAATACATGTAAATGATAGTGTAAACATGTTATCAAGCTTTTGTATGCATTTGAAAGAGAAAAAAGTTATGATTCACTTTACAGCAGTAGCCCAGAACCTAACCTGCTGTATAACCGTGGCCCTTCTGTACATTTAGAATTACAAATTTTAATGAAAAAAGGTATTACATTGAACCTCGTAATAATAACACCTGCTCATTGACACTCATGATGAAGAGCGCCCTGCCAGTCTTACCCTACAAACATAATTAAATTTCAGTCTTAAGACTCAGTGTAGGTAATTCCAGCTCTCTCTACAGTATGCTAGTACATTTTGTTCACTGTATTATAGGTGCATAAGATAATGTAAAGCAAAACATTTGTGAGCACGGTAAACATTGTTCTTTGTAAATGTTTTAGAATTACATTATTTAATTTTTATACAATAAATTAGTGTATGAAGATATGGGCTGATTAATTCAAAATAAGAAAGTGTTTTGCTTAATGGACGTGATGAGATAAATGATATAAAAGTTGAAATGAGACAAATGGAATGAGCATGTATTAATGAGAGGAGTTTACGTGGAGAAAGAAAGTGAATAATAGTTGCTTGTATATTTTGATTGTCAACTGATGTCCTCTTAAGCAGATCTGCTGAAGGGACCTCAGTTGGAGATAATGAAGATTACTTTTATTCCATGTTTGTCTCCATGTGAATTCCTATCTCATTTTTATTATTGTTCATGAACTTTTTTTACATTTTGTTACTTTGTGAAGTCTTGTCACAAGTAAATCAGCTACACTAGATACAATACAGTACAATATGTATAAACAATCTATAGAATTTATTCTACACTCATGCATTCAATTGATGGACCAGCCACCATATAATTTCATGATTATACTACAGTATTTACAAGAACAGGGGAAAACAAAATTGTGAAACCCTTCGACAAAGCATACTCATTTTTTTTTTCTAATCATTTTGTATAAGTCATGATTTCTTAACCCTTAAACTGTCCAAACAAATTGCTTTCACATGCGTAGTGCTCCAAAAGTAGATCTACATTTTTTACATATTTTCATATATAACAAAAAAGTAGATCAAAGTTTTTTTTACACGTTTTCAAATGTAAAAAAAAAAGGTCTACGTTTTGTTACATACTTTCAAATGTTGAAAAAACGTAGATCTACGTTTGGACAGTTTAAGGGTTAAAATGGATGTTGGATTGATGACAAGTGAAATTAAAAAGTAATTTTTAACATGGTTATTTTGACTCGGTGACTCTAAATATTTTAGGAATTAATGTATACCTATAGTACTAAGTTGTAATCACAATTTGAAAATAGTAAAACAGAATATACATGAAATAATGCAAGTTTGGTGCAGATATTCTTAATGGTTGAGTGATTTATATAACTGTACATAAAATTTGGTGGCAGTCACTCATTGACTGTCTGATATTCAACACAATGCACGTTATACATAAAATATGAAGAATATACATATAATTATTAGAATTTTTGACGCTGGAAAAAATATGAATTGATAAATTAATATTAAAAAATATATATATATATTTTTTTTTTTTTTTTGAGCCTACATCATGAAAGGAGATGCTAGTACAGTACTTGCTTAATATATATTTAATTGGTATCATAATGTTTGTTGCATGTTGTTATCAAAATTTCATCTGTTTCACAAAGTCTTGATAATTTTTTATGTAGAGTAGAGGATGTGGCTATGGGGATTTTCTCCCTGACCTTCACTTTTCTTGAGGGGGGTCCATGAATTGTTGCTGTAGTCTGAGGTTGTTACTTCATGTATCTGTTCAAGAAGATAAATATATGTGCTTAGTCTAATGTTTCCAGTCAGAAAAAGGTATTTCATATAAATCTAGCTTTTTTACATAGAAAGTATATCAGGAAAGCTGATTCTGAAAAGGATAGCTTTTCAGGCTTATGTTCTAAACGAGATTAATAGTTGTTAAGCAAAAGGACACGTGTACATCTAATGCAGCATTTTATTGTAGCAATGTTTCACTCGCCAGGAGCTTTGTCAAGCCAAAACATTGCCACAATAAAATGCTGCATTAGTTGCACATGTGTCCTTTTACCTAACATATTGTCAGTAATTCTGCCAACATTGTTAAAGATTAATAGTTAATCTGTACCTTAGATGGTGTGCTTCTTGCAATGGAGGTATAATTTGATGTAAGCACAAGCTGCCCACCAGGAGGACCTTCTGGATGCCTTGATTCACTTGATTCATCAGCTTTGAAGGGTTGCCAGAATGATTTCACTGTTACTGGAAATACATTAGACGCTTCTGCCAAAATCATTTCTGTCTCTCCTTGGCTGTAATTCTGAACATCGTGATGACCTGAATCATCATTTTCATCTGAGGTGTCGACACGGCTGGACTCCCACTTGTAAAAATTTATCATTTCAGGATGATCAATAAGAAACTTTTCTTGAATAGGCTGATACCACTCTGGTGAAGAGGAGCCACTACCTTCATTTTCATTGTCAATTTTTTCCAATTTTAGCACTACTGTTGACCTGGGTGTAAGTGTTGTGATTTGCATTGGTTCCTTGGTTGTTTTAATAGGATGATGTAATGCTGCCATAGTTGATGAAGTCAACTCCCTGTTTACTGGGTGAGTTTTGTATGCACTGAAGGATCTAAAGTTTGCCCTTGAAGCTGATAATTTCATTGATTTGCCTACTGTAGAAGATGGTGTACTTGTTCTGGGTGTCATCCCATATTTTCTTGGTGTGATAGTTGTTGAAATGTTGGTCATGAATTTTTCTGCTTGCTTTATTTGCACACTTTCAGTAGATAAAATGACATTTGCTGGTGTTGTTTGTGATAGATTTTTTCTTTTGTTAGCCATCATGTTTCGCAGGCGCTGGATGGAATTATATATCGGAGTTTTTCTAAATGCAGTAGTTGTTTCATCTGCAGTAGTGGTACTTACTGTTGTACTATGAAGGTGTATTGGGGTTGTGGTATATGTTTCTATTTCATCCTTCTCTTCGTTTTCTTTTTTGCTTTCCACATGAGAGGCACGACGAGTCGGAAACAATACACTTTTGATTTCTTGGATCTCAGTTCTTGAGGTTGTAATTGGGAAGTTCATATTGATGTCTACTTCAGAAGGTGAAGGAATAATAAAGGGTTGATTACGTGTTTCACTAGTTGTGGTGGTAGTGGGTAATGTTGAAATAACTGTGAATTTTTCTGTTATGAGTGCAGGCTTAGGCGTTGGTCTGTTCATGTGAATGACTTTCCTTGAAGGAATATTGAATTGCACCTTGAATTGATTATGCTCAATATGTGGCTCCTTGCTGTTAACTTTGGTGTCACTATTAGGAACAGAATCAGACTCTATTTGAGGTGGTTTAATGATAGTCCGGTAATTCCACCTTCCTGGCATCATTATTTCTGGCCTCTTTCTAATTTTCATAAAACCAGGAGGTTGTGAACGTGTAGCATGCTTGGCCATAGAACTGAACTCTGCATCATTTTGTTTTATTGATTCTGTTTCAAGCACTTCTAGCTTATGATTTCTGATTGTGGTGGTAGATGGTGCGTGGTGGTGGTATTACAGGCTTGTGTAGGGCAGGGGATGGTGCCTGGGAGGTAAATGTCTGGAACTGTGTTATAGTCTGGAAATTTTCTCCAGACTTTGGCATAGGTGTTGCTTCAGTGATTGTAAACCATGATGATGATGCTGAAGAAAGAACACCTATTTCATTATTCTTTGTTTCTTTCACTGGGGTACTAGTATTAGTATCTGTAGCTTCTGGTTGTATGGTGCCCCTTTCCATTGAAAAAAATGGAACGTTGTTTATAATTTTAAATTTATGATTGATTGGAGGTCTGTATGTTGTTGGTATATTTGAAGCTGAGTGACTTAGATTATTTTTTGGTAAAGCATTATTAAAAAGTGTTGCTGAAAGATTGGCTTGAATGTTAGGTTGTTTTGTTAATGGAATTACTGGTGTTGTTCTAATCTTAAATATTGTGTTTTTCATGTGACTTTCAGGTAGCTGTGTTATTTGTGTTGAGGCTTGTACGATATTAATTGTGGATGGGGTTGGGGTAATCCTCTTGAGTGTGACTGTAGGTGGCTTACTAGAATTTGGTGGTTGTACAAACTTTGCTATTGTAACAATTTCCTCAGTTGGTGAAACATCCATATCATTTTCATCAAAAAATCTATGTGATGCTCTTCTAATTTCAGTAACTTTAGAAACTTTTGGTTGATCACTTTGTATGGATAAAGGAGGTGGAAACACCACGTCATCAATTGTGAACCTGATTAGATCTGGTCCAAAAATTTCTTGCCTAGGAATTGACTCGGTTGAAATTGGCCGTGCAGGGTTTGATTGAGGATTAACTTTTGTTATTTGGTACCCTTGTACTCTTGGGTATGACTGATGATATGAAAAGATGGGTTTGGCATGTATGTTTTGCTGGCTGTTTTCCAATGTGGTAGATGAGAAATTTTGAACATGACTTTCCTGGAAGCTGCCAAAAGAATGATTAGGTTCCTTTTGTAATTTTGGGTTTATTCTAATGTCAGACTGTTGTTGATTTTGATTTTGATCTGTTAAAGAAGATTGATGTATATTAATTAAAGGTTGAATTCCAGGCTTCTTGGTAAGCTGATTTTGTTGCTGCTGGGCAAATTGCTGTATCTCAGGGCTATGAATAACTGTGGATTTATTCTGTAATGGTGGTGGCTTCATTTCATCATATAGAATAGGTTGTAAATGGGGCATAAAATTGAAGGTACCTTTACCCAGGTTTACACTCCTTGTATCCCTCAAAATCTCTGTACTGGAGTTATTCTTGGACCCATAATTAGTTGCAAAGTTTGACTGTTGTGTGTTCTGTGGATTAAGGTTATTTGAAGTTATTGGATTTTTTTTATTTGTCTTGGGCATTGACACACTTGGTTCATTATCTGGTCTAGAAAATGAAGGCAAAAGAGAAAAATGTGTGTTTGTTCCTTGTGTATTCTCTCGACTTCGGAACATACTGAAGGGGTTAAAAGAATTCATGTTTGGGAAAGAAGGTAAGCGAAAAGGCTGTAAGACTGAAGGTCGATTGAAGAAGGAAAGACTACCTTGTGGGAATATTGAGGTTTGTGTTAGAGGTAGACTGTTGCTGAATGTGCCAAGAGGTGCACTTAAACCTGCAGTGTTAGTATTTTGGGTGTTTGGCCATCGAATAAAGGTAGGTGTAACAGGAGTTGCAGGTTGTGCATTGTTATTGCTGTTCCCTGTTTGTGATGATGCTTCTTCTAAGGGTTGTAATTGTTGGAATTTTTCAAATGTTGCTGGTGGAGAAGCTAAGTTTCCTGGCTGAAAAGGACTCTGCTTAAGAGGTTGAAAACTGACAGGTGCATTTTGTGCTTCTTGTCGAAATACAGCTATAGGGTCTACAGATATTATCGCATCCTGCTCGCTCCCATTAGTTACATCCACATCAGGTGTATCTAAAGACTGAAGTTGGGAAGTTGTAGATACAGTGGACTGTGCTTGTATTGCCCCAGATGTAAGAGGATTAAACAGCTGTGTTGGATGCTGCTGAAGTTCTTGTAAGTTATTTTTTTGATCATCTGAATCATCCAACATTATGACTATATCTTCACCTTTTGGAGGGCCAAATCCAGGAAATTGTATAGCAAGTAGTGAATCTGATTGAGACTGGGGGGATTGTTTTAATTCTGGTGGTGGTACAAGTTGTGTTAGTGGAGTATCATGCTGCTCCTGCTGCTGAGTTATTAGGTTTGGTTGTGCTAGGTTAGGAGTTCTTGCATTTTGCTGTTGAGGAAGAGGTCTTCTCTCATGAACGTTTTTGGGAAAACTTCTGATTCTGAATATATCACGAATAGGTCGCATGAACATGTTAAGAGGAAAATTATCCTGTCTTCTGGAAACTTTTTTCAAGGGGATCATAACAGGATAGAGATTAGAATTACGATCCTGTAGGTCAGTTTCTTGAACTGGGTATGGAATCATTAAAACAGGGTAATTTCCATCATCCCCAGAGATCCTAGCCAATTCACTATGTATAACATAAGGTGAGAATTCTAGTGGTTTCCTTTCAACTGGTCGAAAGAGGGGACTTGGTGGTATATTATCAGGCTTCGGTGCAATTACATGAACATTTTTAATGAGCAATGGCTGATTGGTTGGGTTTTGGGATGCTTCCACTATTGCCAAATGGTGTGCTTTGATTTTAGGTGAAAGAGCTTTATGCACTTGTGTCTGATCATTTACTTTTGGTGGATTTATATTTAAATTATAATTTTTTTTATGCTGCTCCCCAGGAAGTGTCTGTGATGAGTAAGCATGGCCGGGTGGAAGGTCTTTTAAGGTTGCTTCATCATAAGGAAATCCCCAGTTCTTGAGATCATTTTGCACTATAGCATGGTGCCATGGCTGGGTGTAAATTTCCCCTTGCATTTTTTCTTTGGGATTTTGATTATTAGTGATTCGACTCTTGTCTTCCCATGGCAGTTTCTTGTTATTCATAATTTCTTGACTTTGACTTGGAACAGCTTCTTGGGGCAAGTCAGAAGTTTCTGTCATTCTGGAATATCTGTCAATTTTCTTTGGTGAAATAGTTACAGATATATTACTCTTCAAGGAATTATTTCTTGTTTGACCATTTTGTCCAAAATTATCAAAACTAGAAACTAAGGGTTTATATTCACTGATAAATGAGTCTTCAGTGTTAGTGTTTTTGAGCTGCAACTGATGACTTTGTGTGTGTGTCAGCTGTGGCCACTGTTTATACTGTTGGTTCAGTAGAGAACTGTATGACATCAGTGGGTTTGTCATTCTCATACTATTTTGATAGATTTGTAAAGTGTCATTATTCTGGTTAGGCAGTAATTTTTGCCTTGGTTGACTTGTTATATTTAAGGTTTGATTAGGTATGGTGCCTTGGCCTATACTTGGCCATGGAATATAATCAGGTGGCTTTTGAATATTTATGATTGAATCAGATGTGGATTCAGATCGAAGATGATGATTACCTTCATTTTGGGACTGGCTTTCATCTTCATGTGAGAGCGAATGTCGCACATGGTCGGGAAGGAAAACCTCGAGGGGATTGAAAGTGAAATCTTTTCTGCTATCAGTTTTTAAAGTAATATGAGGTGAATTATATCTATTTGTGGAATCTTGTATTTGTTTGGTGTCATTATACAAGAGCATTGCCAAGAATGTGGCATTGGTGGGTAACCAATTATTGTAAGATTTAGTAAGAGAAGGTAATGATACATTTAGTAAGGATGTAGTTTTTGAGTTTTGAAGAGTTTTCAATTGCAAGTTCTCATTTTGGAGGACATTTAGAGCCTGTTTAATTATATCCCAGTGTGTGTTCTTTTTTGACTGACTTTCTGACACCCTCTTTGGGAATGTTTGTAGGAGGGGTGGCAGTTGAAGATTTTTGGAAATATCCCCTGTTCCTGCCCATTGCACTGACCTCGACTCTGCTTCAGAATCCGATCTTTGATCATAAAGATCAGCAATGGCTGGTATCATATTGGCTGGTAAAGTTTTAATTGCAGCATATTGCACAGTGTCTCTTGCCATGGTTGAACCTTCTGCTGGTGTTTTAGTGTCCTCCACCACAACCTGAGCATTTGTCTCCTTGACAAAAATAAGCACTGTGCATGCCACTACCCAGGTTATCAGTAGTATCCGGATTGATCGCCTCCACATCTGGAAAAATAATGGTGATTAAAATGTGTGTTAATTCAGGGTAAATTTGGGCCATGTAATGGGGGATTTTAGGGGCTATAGCCAGAGTCTTTGTTATGAACTCAAAATTGTTTAAGCCTATAAATATCAGAAAAAGATTGTAGGCTTAACTGCATGGACATTGTTACTGATGAACTCGACAACTACAGGTCTCCCTCAACATTCACGAGGGTTAGGGGATCAAGAGCCTCTCGAATGTTGAAAAATCGCGAATGTTTGGTGCCCCAATATTATTATTATTATTTATTATCACACTGGCCGATTCCCACCAAGGCAGGGTGGCCCGAAAAAGAAAAACTTTCACCATCATTCACTCCATCACTGTCTTGCCAGAAGGGTGCTTTACACTACAGTTTTTAAACTGCAACATTAACACCCCTCCTTCAGAGTGCAGGCACTGTACTTCCCATCTCCAATATATTGTATGGAAATATAATACAATACTGCTTCCTTAACTTGTCGAACCATGAACAGTCATAAAATACATGAAAACGTCGTAAATTGTGCTAAATACATATGTTATGCCTTAATAACATGTATGTTATTAAATACCACTGCGAGTCCCTACTACCCTCCCTCCGAACCCCCACAACTGGCAGCCAGTCCTCCCACCACTGTGTGGTGAGTGTTTTGTTTGTTCATTATTTGCTATTAAACTACAGTATAAATAATGTCAACCCATTTATGACTGCATATTGGAATGGCTATTCAGACAGGTATTGGAAGGTGACATCATGTGTTTACTCTTGAACACAGCAAAGAAT